TTTCTATATTGTTTCTGGCACAACTCCTATTGTCAGTGCTTTTAGATATTACTGGAACTCTAACAGAGGCCTGATGCTCCTTCTAGCCACCCTGGAAGAATCTTTTAAATGCCAGGTTTCCTATGCAGGCTTCCGAACTTCCCATCTAATTTGCATTTTGACAGATACAATATTTCCTGAAGGAGGACAATGCTACACAGGAAATAAGAACTTCTTGTTTTCTTTGCCAGACAGCTGCCTTCAAAACCACCACTCTCAATACTACAGCTAAATTTAGCTCTGTTGTCACTTTTTTCAATGGCAAGTATACAAACTAATTTAAGGAAATTTTCTGAAGGCTCTCAATGTTCACAGATCAAGTTGCCACTCAAATCATGAACAGATACAAAAAGAATCAGGGACAAGATGGATTACAAATTAATAAATACAATTCTGCAAATAAATACTTGCCACCTTTTAATTTAACTCTTTGACTGTCCTTCAAATCAAATAAAAAAGAGCAAATACTAAAAATTCAAATCAGAGGTGTGTGACACTTAGTAATACTGTATTCATCAAGATATTAGATGTTACACATATTATATGTATATATCATGGTACTGTAATATTATTATAACTGAATTATGGTGCCGAGGATGGTTACTGATAAAAGCCAGATCTTACCCAGACGTTCAGGACAGGATATATATTGCTCTTTATAAGGAAAGCAGAATTAATCTGGCAAACTACAGTTTTAAATTTAGCTCTGTTGTCACTTTTTTCAATGGCAAGTATACAAACTAATTTTAAACGGATACTGTATATCTGAAAACTAGATGAGTGTGTCCTAAAAACATAATTGACAATGTTTTCATGTATAACTCAAAGAAGCTTAATGTTAGAATAATAAGCTTCATGTTCGAGTAATGCAGTGAATTAACATTGGGCAATGTTTTCCATTAGATGCACTCCCTAAGAGTTTTTGTTCAACGGACAACGTGACATGCCAGAATCTAAATTGTCTATGTACTTTCCCATGGTGTCAGAGCAAGACAGGAACTGTGGTCTGGCTGTATATTTTGGTTATGAATACACCTGTGAAAAGGAAGACTGTTATGACAGGGGTGTGAAACAAGAGGCTCCAAAGATTTATCTACAGTTCTTGTTAACTCTATGAATGCCCTTTATGACAAAATATATTTAACTGAAAACTACCCACACATACAGCACCTTGACACAGTAGTAAACCTCAGCTTTTCACTTCAGAGAAATGACCGAACCTATGCATTTATCAAGCATGGATGACATTCTTTATGCTGATTACAAATTCATAAGTGAACACCAATTTAATAATGATGAACAGGCCAAAGGTGTAAAACCTTGGAGAAGTTTTTGTAAACAAAATGGAGAACTTCATTGTTGGGCTGTTTGAAGCTGGATCTCATATTCTACTTTCCTTGCATACCTTCCATGTTCTGCTCATCGCCTCTAAAATATAACACATTCTTTCCACTGTCCTCTGAGTAAATAAGAGCAGCAAAATCAGTACTTACTGTCCTCGGGATTGGGGGCAGACAGGATGATACTGTGTTTCTTCTTCACTTCTTCTACTTCATTGGAAATTTTATCTATAGTTGACCGAACCTCCTCGACCTTTAAAACATATCCACATGTCATTTAAATGACTGACAGAGAATCGCTTTGCTCCAGTATTCAACAAGATATTATGGGGAAAAAATGTCAAAAACACACCTTCTTAAAGAAGCTATCCATATGCGCATCTCTTTCAATGGCAACACTACATTCAGCATCTTCATATTTGCTGCTCTGGAAAAAAAGAAAAATGTTGATTAAAAGAGCTCGAAAAAAACTAACTTGAACACTCCCAATAAACTACAAAAGAAGAAATATGTTATAAAGTCAAACAAATAAAGCGTCCAATAAAGAACATTTTTAATCCTCATGCTCACCTATAAGGCTCTGCACGGCTTTGCACCTCAGTTGACAGTTGACTGAGCTACTGTCGCCCTACTCCCCACCTCGCAACCTTCACTCTTCTAATTCTGGTCTCCTATCTGTCCCTCAAGCCCTTCTACACTCTGTGGGTGATAGGCCTTCTCTTGTAATGCCCCAGAGCTCTGGAACTCTATCCCCAAGGATATCAGAGAGTCACCTTGTCTAAACCGTCAAATCTAGGCTCTTTAGAAGAGCCTTTACTTAACTGGTTCTGTTCTTTACCCCCCTGCTCCTACTGTATTCAGTACCCCCATCTACCATATCCTCTAACTGTGTATTGTCATCATGCATAACCTTTTTAGTTTTTGTCATTCTGTAAAGCGCTTTGAGAAGCCACCTTTAAGGGCACTATATAAAATAAAGTTTATTGTTTATGTTTTTTATTATTATAATAATTCAGTTCTGAACATTTGCTGTGACAGTAAATGCTGTTAAGAACAACTCATGTCAAGATGTTGAAATTAACAGGAGTATTAAAAATACAAATGTGACTTCCAAATAAACTATTTGGCCATCCAATGTTTCAGAAATGTTGTCTATTTTAAAGCAAATAGTCTGTTCAGGCCTGATGCAATAGGGGAAGTCACATTATTAAGTATAATTTGTTATCTGAGCAGAAAAGCAGAAATTCACCAGCTATGCAAGAATGAAACCTACTGCTGAATGACACGGCCTCACACTTGGAATTTTACTATGTACACACAATACAGCATAAAATGGAGCATATCTGGCTCTCTATAAATGCATGTGCCTCACAAAGTTCAATTGGGTAATATCTCCTGCTTCATGTTATAAAGAAATATAACATTTGTGACAACAGGCTAAGATGAAATAATGGGCTGTTTTGAAACTGGAAAAAGGATCTTGGAACTGAAGTGAAAGACAGAAGCTAAAGCCAAACTCTTATTTTGCAAAAACTGAGCACTAAATTTCAATCTGCCACTGTGTATAAAGTAAAAGAATTGTACATATGGTTTTAAAGTAAGAAATGGTAAAATATGCTTTATGGCATTTTTAAATAAGCATAAAAGTTTTCACATTTTATTCCTTATGGACTTCTTAAAACTATATTCCTTAATTAACTTTCACTTTGTTGTAAAAACCTTTTTGGATTCTACTTCCACATCATAGCTTTCTGTACTCCCTTTAAAGGTTATAGTGTGGTATTTCAAACAAACCTTCTCTGAAGAATTTCAGATATTCCTAACAAATGAACTACTTTACAAAATAACTAAAACTAAAATGTCAGAAATAGTGCTGTCAACCATGAGAGACTTGGGAAATCCAGTTTTCTTTTCAATAAACTGAATGAGAGACAAAGAATGAAATGGGAAATGTGGTCTGTAAATCCAACCTCAAAAACACATTTTAACCTTTTCATACAAAAATATTAGCTTTGATTCTCAACGATATAAGGCAAAATTAACTACAAATGAATGTTGTTTAATTATTCTTCAATACTTCCAATATAATCCAATGTCCTTTACTATTACCAGTCAAATCATTGACAGTAAAACTATACTTTGCTGTGACATCTTGTCAAAACTCTTCATCACTAAATAGTCTTGGCAGGTCACTTACCAGCTAATGTTGTTTGCAGTATTTTGCTGAACTGGTAGAAACAGAAACCTATTGTCAACAAAATAGTAACCTAGTTTCAGCAAAAGAGCACATTACATCTACTGTACCTTGTTGGTTTGTGTTTTGGGGTTTGGATTTCTTTTAGTTTAGTTTTTGCTGCGTTGTTGCTGCTACAGGACAAGTATTCTGGAAAGTGAAAAGTTTTGAAAAAATCCCAAAGCTGAATGTGATGAAAAAACAGACTTGGGTGTCTATATATGTACCTATGATCTCAATTTGTCATATGTCACACCTATGGGCTCATGTGTGGCTCACTCTGTTTTTCCTGAACATTTCTTAGTTATCAATTGTGACGCTTCTTTGAAGGTGCTATTCTTGCTGAAGAGGCTTATTTTTTTATCATAACACAGGATATACTGCACAGCATGTTTGCTGTTAAGTGACATAAACTCACAGAGAGGAAAAGGCATACAATTCACTTCTTTTTTTTTTTGCAGAGAGACAACCAGATATTTTTCATCAGAACTTCTCAGAAATCTTGAGAAATCGTGGGGATTTTTTAAAATACTGATGGATATGTTGTCTGTTGCCAGCCAACAATATTACTTTTTTAAGTTTCAGAAGTACAGGCCAGAAACAGAGGCTCTGTTTGTTACTTGCATGCACAAATAGCACACACATCAGGAGTGCAAACCATGACCCCACTGTTGATTATGGTATCACACCATTCAGGCTGCCAGACTGTATCAGAGGCAAGCCATACTTTAATCACATACTGTACAAACATCACCACATCATACTGTCTTCCTTGAAACAATGGGCAAACCGGTATGCAAGCTTCAAACAGCTGTAGCATGTTGGCAAAAGTATCTTGGAGCATACTGTTGTACCACAGTGAAAACTGAGGGTTTTCTGATGGGTCCTAAACACCTGATAAGCAGAAGGAGACACCAGGCATGTTTTGGGTTTTTTTTCCCCCTAATGTTGTGCCTAGATAAACATATTTCAGTTGGGTCCTTGAGTACTGTTCAAAATAGCGCAAGTCAAAATACAGTAAAAGTAGTCTTTAAGAAAATTAAGGTGGTTTATTTTCTTTTCTTCCCCAAGTTTTTTTTCAAAAATAAAATAATTTTACGTTAGTTTTTGGTATTGTAACGTTTAGGACGTGTGGATCGCACTCAATAAGTCCTTCCCAGCTTCAATAGCATACTATCTGTAGTCTTGCAGTCATACAGGCCTGTAACTTGTCCATACTCGCTTAAGTGTATGTCTTACTTGAATAATAAAAGAGAGCAGTCTGAGAGAAATCTTTGCCTTAAGGTTAGATATTTTTTCAACTGTGACTAATTTTTCCATCCCCCCCCCCCATCGAGCAAAATATTTCTAGATGTACCATACCAATGTAATAGCAATTAAAATACTCCAGACACGATGAAAACAAACTCCCTATAAAAAAAAACACCTCTTCCAGTCCGATTTCCATCTCAATCCGTTCTATGGTACAGTGCTGTGCAGTATGAATGTAATGCCAGATGCTATGCAGGCACATTCAAAATGTAAAAGTCAAAAGAGTTTGAAATCCAAGTTCCGGCGCTTTTAAAATAAAGCACCCCTTGTTCCTGAGAGCTCTTGCGAGTTCATATTTTTGCATAAAGGAAGCCTCAAGACTCACGCGGTCACAGGGTGCAAACACCCTGACCACTGGATTCTCCTCCTAACATTTCGGCACTATTAGAAAACATAAAATACGTAAAGGGGCGCTGCTTAGGAGAAAAGTAGAAAGTGTCTTCCTGCTAGCCTTGGCAGTTAAGACTGGGTGCAGTTTATTGACGGGGGGGGGGAGGTATACTTTTCACTTCTCTTTTGAGTGTGACGAACTGGTTTAATAGTCGATTTTATATCTTATGCAATTTCCTAGCGTTGCAACAGCAGGATCACCCACAAAGATCAGTCATTGTTTCGTGTTCATCACGCAGTCGACAGTCTCACCGTTGCCTAGAGAGACCTAATCGTAACCAGTGATTTGCGAGTTTTTATTTAGTCCATGCCTCACAGTTAGGACGACACGTAAGACTGTGTAATAGCGACGGTGTACTTGTTTCATTAGATGTTTCACGCTCTGATCCAATCAAGATGCTTTGAGCACATAAACATGTTTACTGGCACCGTCAAGTAAGCGACACAACTAACCGTTACTACACACGAAAACTCACAAACCCACAGGCCTGTGTTATGTATACACAAAAACTTAATGAAAGAGGCACTCAATTTAACATTTAGGAAATGAAAAAAAATAAAACCCGTTTCCTTAATGACCCAAAACGTTCACAGCTAGACTCACAATTATATTAATTAGACAAATACGTGTATGCCTGTAGAAGACAACCCTCTGATTCAACAAGTAAATTCCCCAAACCCACTTTATACTTCATTTAACAACTAGGCCAAAGTAACTCGGTCGTTACACTGGAAAATAAGAAAAATAACGACCTTTTCTGAAACAAGATAACTAGATAAAACTAAGACGTGAAAATCTTAACCGTTCTAACGCTACATTTCTATCCATCTAACATATACCGTTACTTTTGATTTAAATGTTACAAATATTACATGTGATCGATGAAGTTTAACCCGCTATTTCGATCCGTAATAAAGTTACTTACGGCTGTCAGGTCGGCCAACCTGTCCCTCATCACACAACTGTTTCAGCACAAGTGACCAAAAACACACACATGTACACCCCCAGGGCACTGGCACCCAGGATCCCGAAAGGCGAAGGAAACGTCCAAAGCCAAGAACTACCCGGCGATGTCTGTTATGTTTGGGTTTTTTTGTTTGTTTGTTTGACGCCGAAACCAAACTTCAAACCGCAACTTCTCCAGCGTTTCCTCAGGCGGCGTCTCTCAAACTCCTTTTAACTACAACTGCAGAAATCGCCTGGAAACGCCTCTGTGCGCGGGCACGATCGCGCACCCGCACGCACGCCTCCCCGGCTGCACGTTTGGGGAAACCGTATCCCTGCGAGACGGCACGAGCATCACTGGGGGGGACACCACAGCAATAAGACACATGATCAATAAATATTCGTCTCGTATGTATGACTCAGTCCTGACCTGCACGTTGTAATAACGGAGGTGATACGTGAGTTTGATTCATTTTTACATTTTTCGAGGTGAGTCGTGCTTTCTAACAATTACTACTTTTATTCGACAAATAAGAGTCCTTAAAATCACTTTTTAAAGGCCTTTCTAGAGATACCCTAAAGGACGTCATGTAGGAAGCCGTTTTAAGGTGATTCTTACTTATTGCATACCACATCGTATGTGGTGGTATGTGTGTGTGTTTGTAATTTTGGCAGGAAAAGAAACATACATTTTGCTAAAGTTCCTGGTGGGTGTAGATTTCACTTTCAAATTCCCTGGCTCAGTGGGCAATTAACATAGCATCCGTTTGAGGTTATTGTGAAACTCTCCATAAAGTCCCAATTCACAGCAATAGTCCTAAGTAACATGTTTAATGATAATGTACTGCCTTTGTTGAGCGGTGTGCTTTCCAAAGTAACTTTGAATTGGGTCTGTTAAATTTAGGAAGAGAACCAATTCATTCACCGCTGATATTCCAGAACGCACCTTGGTGACGTTTGGCAGCCACACTACACAGCAGGTCAGGTGGAGAAGTAAAAAAGTACTTCATCACATGAATTGAAGGGATTTTTTAAAAAAATAAGGAAGTGGGATTTACTGCCATAGGATCTTTAATGACAAAGTTATCAAGTTATCAGAATATTGTCTTAGCATTTCATGTGGAGATGAATGGCATTTCCTACAGTGCAGTGTCCACTGTTTCCATACTGGGGCACTGGTTTTGAAAAGTTTCATCCACTTTTCCAACAGCACCACTTACAGCAGCAAACTGGTTGCACTTAGAGGACCCTACTGGGTGGACAAGTGGCACTGTGGCTAAGGCTCTGCGCCTGTGGCTGGAAGGTTGCCAGTTCAAATTCCATGGAAGGCAGAGGAATCCTACTCTGTTGGGCAAGTCCCTTAACCCCAGTTGCTCCAGGGGTGCTGTATAAATGGCTGACCTGCGCTCTGACCTCAAGTTTCTCTCTCCCTTCCTGTGTGTCTCATGGAGAGCAAGTTGGGGTATGCGAAAAGACAAATTCCTCATGCAAAAAATTGTATATGGCCAATAAAGTGATCTCTCTAGTGAGCCATCACAGTGATGACCAGACCCAGCCTTACTAAGCTTTTGACAAGATGGACCTTCAGGTGCTACGTCTGCTGCGATCTTTATTTCTAATACAAGAAAGAGAAAGCTCTGTTAATGTTTCCAGGGCCAATATGGTCTGTAAAGTCAGAGATGCCCCAGGGCTCTGTGGATACTTCTGGCAACTGTATTTTTCACAATTACAAAACAAATCAGGTGGAGCATCGGGGAGCCTATTTCCATTACAAGGGTCACTGGTTGTCAGCCACAATGAACTTTGTTTAACAAAAAATGTCAATTGAGAGAATATTTCATTTACAATACCTCCCTGGAGAGTTTGAGTGAAGTGCCTTGCTTCAGGGTACAATAGCAGTTCTGTTTTGATCCCACAACCTCAGAGCCCAAACTGCTTCTAAGCTACATTTCGTTTATCTAAAAGAAAATTTACATTTGATATATCTCTTCTTCTCTTTTAATTTGAAGTCAAATAAAATGTTATCAGTTTCATGTGTTGAAAACCTTCTCTTTGATGAGAAAATTATCCTATCTCATCCTAGACGTTTCTGAGCTCTTTAGTGTCACCTGCTGTCTGCATCATGACTAATTCTTCCATTTTTTTAGTGTATGCTGTAAAATACATGTATTGCGATCTTCCTAAAGATACAAATCATTTTTGGGGACAAGTATTTAATGATAATATTAAAGCATTGATAAGGAGACACGTATATTCAGCACATAAACGATTTTTTTTCCATTACAAATACCAGATTGTTGCAAAACGATTCTTAAGCCATTCTTCACATTACAAAATCATTATTTGTAAATTTTCTATGCAGGGTATATATAGATTTTTAAACGTCTTTTCTAGGCTGAAAATGTGTAAGCTAGTTGGAACCAAATCGTCTTCTCTGTGCGGAGACGTGTTCAGCAAAAAAATGGGTTTGTGGATGTTTATGAAGGTCTTTGATAAACTTTTTAAACCCAAAGACTCGTGGAAGTGTAAACATTTAGTTCTGCATTTTATAATTAATAATAGAAATATCTACCGTGCAAATTGAATCTTTAAGTTTACGTTTAAATCGGGGGATCATAACGGAAAAAGAACCTCTAAATTTAAAAGAGTGGAAAAAGTCCAGCTTTTATGCTTTTCCGTTGAGCGATAGAATTATCACCATAACTGCACGTGAACGGAAAGCCATTTTGGCTCTTCAGCATATGCGATTATCATTGAAAATTGAGAAACTGGAAACAACATGGCCCTCATGAGACTCAAACTTCTCGCGCTTTCACAGGAGCTCATTGGTTAGAACCGGGCGCTTTAACCAATAATGTAACGAACTCAAATTCGGTAACGCCTCATTGTGGGCGTGGATTCTTTCAAACAACTAGCCTTACCGCGAGTTGCCATAGAGAAGGAAGGTCACATGATAGGGGTGCGCGTCGGAGTATTTCAACAGCGATTCAGCCATTTTCTACAGGATATTCCGAAAGAGTCCGCGATAGTTCTGGAAACGGTAAGGGGCTGGGGGGTTCAGGGATTTACAATCTATCAATAATCAAAGGCATCTGAGTAGATAGGTGAAATATAAAGTTAATATCAACAGATGTACGTTATGTGTAGTGGGATGGTGGGGATTTTTGTGTGTTTTTTTAGGTTTATAAGTGTCTTAGATGGTAAGCAGGGCGAGTTTTTGTGTGGCTAGGAAGGGGTTGTCTTGGCGGGCTTTTTATGTGACAATGAGATTGCAACTTTAGGTGCTTAATTTAAGTGAGCAAATATAACCGGCTGTATATATACTAGGATACTTGCTTACCTGGTTTTCAGTCTTTATCCGGTATTTATGTAACCTCTTTTTAGTTTCCACAATGATGCTCCGGGCATTTGGCTCGTTTAAGAGATTATAATATCCTGTTATAAAGTTGTAGAAGAATTCTCGGCTTCTTTTTTTAGCCTTTTGTTTTATTTTTTGCGTTAGGCTGGGTTTTAGTATTAACCCACTTAAAGACTAAGTATCTCGGTGATGCGGACTCATTTGGGCCTTGTGTGTTTCAGTCAGGGCTGGCATGGGTACCGAAACGCGGCCTTATCTGGGGAAGGATTAGCTTGGCTTTAGGAGTGTTTTCATGAAAATGGAATGGCGATTACCTTGCCGTCGATGCTTTTGTCTAACGAGCTAGGGCAAAGTTTTCGATTAAAATGGGTTGCCTGCAAGAGACGGATGCACGGCGTTCAGCCGCTCTTTAAAACTCGACGATTCATTTTAGACCCCATTTGGACTTTGCGAAGAGTTCCTGTTAGGCTGGTTGGGTTTAATCTAAGCAGCGATGTCCATTATAACCGTGTGAGATGAGGATGATGATGATGAGGATCTTGATAAGGCCACAGTGAGTTAGTTCAGCAGTCGCTCGCCTGTCCCGGTAACCATGTGGTGCCGGAGGCCTCGCCCCGTCCCCTTCTGTGAATAGAGGCTGCGGAGCAGGTAGATTTGCGCTGGTCAGCATGAAATTAGCTGCTTTACACGAAAGCAAGGCTGGCGGGGAACTGATTGTGCCCTTCGCTAACTCCGGCGAACTTGGAAATCTGGCTCGATTAGCACCATTCCAATATGCATCTTTCATTTCTACATCTTTTTTTTTTCCAGGTCAATCCTTAAATATGGCAACTCAAGGAGAACCTCAAGTTCAGTTTAAGGTACTTTTTCTTTCCTTAATTAGCCACGGTGTTCTCCGCGTGAAAGCGAGTACTTCAGCGTCAATATTATGTTTTTGTCTCTTGGTACTGAATTCGAGGTTGTGCATTTGATGCATACAGGTCTTAAGCACATGGGGCATATTCTGTAGTTTTTTTTCTTGAGCTGAAAACAAACGAATCTTACTTAACTTTAATAGGAGACCTGCATGGACCGTCTTTTTCCTTAATTGAGATACTAAAATTGCTCACATACAGGATTACCAGCTGGCTGTCTTTGTTGTGCAATGTGACACTTCATGGCTATTTACTGTTACTGTTAGACAGTTTTTGCTTTTCTTTCATATATAGCTGCACAGTTACTCAAGGAAGAGTGACCAAACAGGCTAGATGGGCAGAGTGGCCTCTTGTTTGTACCTGTTCTTAAGAAGGATTTTTTTTTCAGCTTGTTCTAGTTGGAGATGGGGGTACGGGTAAAACAACTTTTGTGAAGCGTCACTTGACAGGAGAATTCGAGAAAAAATACGTAGGTATGTGAAGTTGTTTTTCTCTATGTGTAATAGCCTTCTCTTTCCTTCAAAAAGGGGTAAGATGTTCCTTTCTCCCATCGACTTGACATTTCCATTTGTTCACTTTGTTTAGGAGATGTAAAAACATCTTTACGTAAGAATACAGGCTATGTAGTCCTGTTTCTTGTGAACCGCAGTACTGTTCTTGATGATATTTTAAGGGTTTTATACAACCTTTTATGATCTGGAGACCATGTAATATCAGTTCAGACGAGTAACATAATGGAAGCTGTGTAGCTTAAAATTGAGTGCTGCAGAAATATTCTGGGCATAGCTGTGCCAGGGTATTGTGCTGCTAATGGAAATACAAGACTGCTGCTTCCACTGGAATCGTCTTGGATATTGGCACTGATGCATCTTCTTTTGTAACTTCAGCTACTTTGGGTGTTGAAGTCCACCCGCTCGTGTTTCACACCAACAGAGGTGCAATCAAATTCAACGTGTGGGACACAGCTGGGCAAGAGAAATTTGGTGGTCTTCGTGATGGCTATTACATTCAAGGTAAGTTCACAATGTGTTCATTCTTAAATGATGGGTTGGAATAAGGAACTGGTTTTATGAATGAAATAGTTGTTCTTAAATATAAATTTAAAACGCCTGATTTACAGGGATGTTATGATTAATGGCACAGCCCACTTAGGATGTACCAAAGTTGGAAGTTTGTGTGATTTTAAATTGATTGTTACAAATGGTGTGAATTTCTTCTTGACTGTCCTTTTTTTTCTTTTCCAGCCCAGTGTGCCATTATTATGTTTGATGTAACATCTAGGGTAACATATAAGAATGTCCCTAACTGGCACAGAGATTTGGTGAGAGTCTGCGAGAATATTCCCATTGTTTTGTGTGGCAATAAAGTAGACATCAAAGACCGAAAAGTGAAAGCGAAGTCCATCGTCTTCCATAGAAAGAAGAACCTTCAGGTGGGTCTTTTGTTGAATAGTGGACTTGGAGAGGCATAGAAAGATTAAAGTAATATCACAAAACATGAAATATTTATTACAGTGGCTTATTTTAAAATTGTAAGCAGGTATGGATATACCACATTTAGAATGGCTGATGCTAATGATGTCTTTCTTTGCAGTATTATGACATCTCTGCCAAAAGCAACTACAACTTTGAGAAACCCTTCCTTTGGCTTGCCAGGAAGTTGATTGGAGACCCCAATTTGGAGTTTGTGGCAATGCCTGCTTTGGCACCACCTGAGGTTGTTATGGATCCAGCACTGGCTGCACAGTATGAGCAAGATTTACAGGTATGATGCTGACTTGATCTTCTTAATTTTGTAGTCTGTATGTTTAATGTATTAGGGTTTAGTTTCCTCCCTTCACTCCTTTTATGTGTCCAACAACACTGCTAAAAGGAGCAGTTTTACAGATGCTTAAGACCAGGTCATTGTTCATCTTTAATTTTATAAGTTGTGTATTGATATACATGACTTAATTTACTATGCTCGGATGTCTTTTTCCACCAGAATCATAATCCTCGAAGCCGGTTTTAGACTTAACATTTTAATAACACTTTTTTAAATGATCTCTGTCCAGGACTTTCATTTGTGGCAACCTAACTTCTTTCAAACACTGATTGTGGCATAATGTACTGAATCCTTTCACTTGGTCTGTGGATAGAATTATTGTTTAAATTGATACATGATTTTTTTTTCCAACTCAGACTGAAAATTATTTTGCAAATCCAAGGTTGTTTTGCCTTCTATACAGATGTCCACAGGTGTTGTGCTAAGAGTACTAAACAGATTACAATCTCATCAAATGGGGCGCATTAGCTTTTGCATACTGTTGTCACCTCTTGGTTGATTTTGAGAGGAGAAGTTTAAGTGTTATATCAGAAGTCATGCTTACTGAATTAGAGGCCCTGATCTCGTATCAAACGTTTGTTCAGTTAAGCTGGGCTGATATCAACTGCATTTTGATTGTCCCTCCACAGGTTGCCCAGTCTACTGCTTTGCCAGATGATGAGGATGACCTGTGAGTGCGGCTGGAGCCAGGCACCGGCCGTCTAGTTTTATAGGCAGCTGTCTGTGAAAATCTTGGTGGCGCGGCTCGTCTCCCGCAGTAGTTCCACAGAACACTTATATATGTGCTTTAAAAATCTTGAGCGGCTGAAGAGAGTGTGGATTTCGGTGTGAAAGTGTGATGGAGAAAATACAAATCAATTCCTACTACTTTGGACCTGCATAAAACTTGGCTTTTTGGACTGCAACTATTCTGCCCCCTTATGAATTTTGATAATTTATAAGCCTTCTGCAGTAAACAATACACATTGGTGGCACTTGTTACTCATTCCCTTTTTTAATACATAATAAAGTTGTTTCAGTTTTGAAAGCAATTGGCTCAGGATTTTTCATTGCACATTAAATATGAAGTCTAATGTGAAAAGTGGTGTAACTCATGCTTAGCTGCTGCATGAGTATTTCCTTAAATTATGTAATCAAAAAGCAGTTCAAATGTTCTCTTATTCTTGGCATTTGATACTTATCAGCACCTCAGTTTGGCCATGTGTATTTTTCTGCTGTGGAGTTTCAAGATTTTCATTTGTTTGATGTTTCTCGGTTTAAATATTTGTAAAATGGAGCCTTTCTAGGTCTAAGTGTTGCTGTGAAGTTTTTCTGTAGCATTATTTTTAATGTTGATCCTAATTGAAATGGGCTGATCAATGAAGGCTTAGTAAGATAGAATGTGCCAGATGCGTAAAAGCTCAATTTTGCTCCGGAGTTATAGATCTGTAATTGTGTCCCTGAGCTAGTATTCGTTATTTCAGAAAGTGTAAAGTGGAGTATCCAGAATGGAAATACCGTAGAACTGCATCTTATGTTAAAGTGAAATTTGTGAATCTACGGATTCCCTCAACTACGTTGTAAATTGATTCAGCCCCGCCAAGTCAGACCACACTTGCCACAATCCTAAATATGTAGGAAACTAAACCCAAATTCTTGGCTCTAGTCTGTACAGTTCAACCTTTTGCAACCAAACCTGACTTTTTTTTTTAAATAAACCTACAGTGTGATTGATGGCTGTCTTAAGAGATGGTATGTTGCTGAACAAAAGGGGCACTGAAGAATGCACCTTGATTGCTAACTATTGCCAACCATTAACTTAAAACCTTGTAAGATCGTTGGGGTGTCAGTGGTACCTCGTATAGAGGCTTTTTTTTTTTTTAGATTTAACCAAAAAAGGTCTTAAAATTCAGTACAGAATGCATTAAATTTGTCAAGATAAAAAGCTTTTCTTTAGCTTGTGGACTTGGTGTAACATCTTATTCAAGAGGCCACTGATGCTTATCAAGCTGTTAGTTCTTATGCCTTAGGTTTAGTATTGAAACATTTGCACACCTTATCCACCTTCAAAACCTGTGAAATGTATGTAAACGGTGCAAAAAATAAAACTTGTTTTGAGAAACCAGATTCACTGTTTCATTCACTGAGTTCCCCGAGCATAAAAAACAAATCGCTTTACTACAGTGTTCTTGGTCGGTTCCCATTGGTTCACAGATCGGTTGTTAGTTGCATCGCCACCCCAAAATGTTACAGTCCTGGGTTTCTCTTGGTTTAGCATAAATGTATACTAGTCCTTCCAATTTCATTGCAGATTTTAAAGGTGCATAAGGGTTTGACAAACTTTGTGACTGGATAGAATGTATAATCGCTGTATCTGAAGACGGGCGCTTCCAAGAGTGAATACCTATGACACTTGTGTGCAAGAGGCACAGGTATGAATGGAGTTCAAAGCTTTGCACGTCAACTAGATACACCTGTATAGGTTGAGAATCAAGTCTGAGAATGCATCGTCGGATATGACAAAAATCTTCATTTTGTAAAATGGAGATTAAAATATTGTAATGCTTTGGGCAATTGAGTTATGAGCTCGAGCTACGTAACGCCTAAAAATCAATTCCGTGGATTTACAGCTTTACATCTTTAAACAATTATCCAATAGGTGGCGCTAAGTTACTGCTTTTCAAGTGTATGCTGCCGGAGTGGTGCAAGTACAATATTTCCAAGCAAGGAAGCGGAAACATTGTATTACTAGCAAAACCTCCCTGCTATTACGGTGAAATAGTAATGAACCTCCCATTCGCCATAATAACAGATGCGTCTTATTCTCACAGTGCAAAGTTCACTTTCCAGGAGAGGTGCTTTGTGCGCATGTATCAAAGTGTTCTCAGTGGGTGAGCGAAGGTAGTAGATTCCAATTAAATGACTAATTAATTACGATGTTGCGGATGAACAAAATGTTAGTCACAAGGCGTTAAATTCCACAGAGCCAAGCCTGGTCCTAAGAAGAACCATTAGGTTTTATGTGTCATTGTTAAACACCCAGTTTCTAAACGCTTGGCGAATTTCGCTTGCAGTCTCGAACAGGTGATCTTGCTCAAATAGTTCGGAGATCGTACGAAGAGAAAATCCCCACTAGAAACTGGAAACTTTACGTTTTTAATTTACACCTCAGAATATAGCAAAGTGATGTTAACTATATTGGTCAGCAATCACGTGTCCCAAATCGGTAAAAATTAGTGATTCAAAGACAGGGCAGTATGTTTAAGGAAGAGTATGTTTTAATCTTGGGAAAAATCGAGTCACAGGAACACTCATCAAAAGGAACCTGTGAATGACACCATCAACAGGAGTTTTCACTACAGAAAATGGGGAAAATAACCTCACACTTGATAAAAATGATCTGTGTCAAATCTTATTAGTATATGTTTTGAGTGATTATGAGTGGCCAGTTAAATCAGTCTCCGGTTAGATCAGCTCCGTGGTTGATAGAAAGGGTTTTTAATCCAGTCACACAGAGCCAAGGTCTATGGCATCAGCCGAAGGGCAGTTTATCGACTTTAATGTCGTTGTTGCCCTAATCTGACTAGTTGTGCGGTCTCTCCCAGCACATCTGATGCAGCGGCATTTTTAAATTGACACACCGCCCCCAAGGACCAGATTGGTCTATGGTCAGATTATTTTAATACACAAGTATAACATCATAGATCAGAATTTCGATTGTACCATAATACACATCACCAAAGGCGTCATTGCCATCAAGAGATGATGGCATGTGACAATTCACACACGCACCTTTTCCTCTTAATAAAAGTGTAATTGAAAGCGTTTAGGGTTCAACCAGCACCGGTGTAGATATCTCCGCATCATAATTTAGTTTGCAACACGAAAATGTAAATACTGGGTAGACATTTATCATTGTCCTCATGAGCGTGACTCAATGTCACACCGCACATTTCTACCTGTTAAATATTAGCTACAAAAATCGTATTTAATCTCCGAATGGAATGATGGCCAGGCACGGCCAGGTTGATGTGCATTACATAAATCCATAGTCTATACACCCTTTTACAATCGAAACGGGAAGGAAAAAAAAACTTCTCTGGGACCCAAAGGATGACATCACAATTTCAAATCCCCCACCCAGCAAAACAGAGCTCGGGGCCAGGCAAGTGAATTCTTACACTAACATCCAAGTTGAGTAAATCTGTGGCGAGGCACCGAGAAACAAATAGAGTACGAGACAGAGCGCTCCAAACTGGCAGATAAAAAACTCCATGCAGCGATCATTTTCTGTTCGGTGCACCGCAGAGGCTGGAAGACCGAGAAAACGAGCTATAAGAAAGAAGATGTAAGAGTCCAAAGATTGTACATCAGAGCTTTTCTTTCATATAAGGAGTTATAATACATCAGGGGTTTTAATATCATCACAAGAAGGAAAGAAAGGCTTTGAACTGTGCAACACCTGGAACGTTTTCAGAAGCGCAGAAGATGATCAACCCGCTTTGGAGCCACTCTGCACAAAGGATTTAGTTGAAACCAGCACAAGTCCAAACTTCTGAGACCAAGCTATGGAAAAGCTCTGCCATCTCTTATCAATAACGACATTTTTGTCTTTAATTCGAGCCCGTTTTCAGGTAATGTAACTACTTTTCTTGTTTAACGACTAATATATTTGAACAAATTATGTAAAATATTATTGATTTGATAGCTTTAATTCGTGCCAGCTTTCAGGTAGTGTATTGTTTTTTAACGCCGAAATATTTTAAAACACATTATGTACAATATTATGGGTTTTACAGCTACATGTATTTTTTATATTTAGGTTTATGGTGAATTTGGAAACCCGTCTGAACATCCAGGTAAATTAGGTCTATGTTTTATATTTAAAGTTTTTTTATTATATTAGTTAATTTAATTTTTTGCCAGTTTTGTATATACATTTTTATTAAGTCAACGAATAAGAATACGATGATCAGATAATAAAGTAAATGTAAATAACTAATTAATGTTGCACGAAAGTTGACTTTACGAAACACTGTAGTAAAGAATAGTATTTTTTACCAGGAAGGCTTGTCTAAACTAAAGTTTTGTTAATTTAACTAAAGTTAAAGGTAGCATTGTAAAGGTCTTACATTGCTTAAGATTTCAGTTATTTATTATTTTAATTAGGTTTAAAAATGATTATATTTGTAATGTCTCAAACAACATTTTGTTTAAAACCAGTGTGATAGTTTTAAATAAAGCTTTTCTTTAAGTTGCAGAGTGCTTCATCTTTCTCTAAACCTATGATATGGAGGTGTATTTATTTTTTAACATATGTGTCTGTTTTCCTTTTTGTTTCTTGTTTCTGCAGCACTTAGGGCTATGTGATGATTTTAAAGTTAAATGCTTCAGAAATTGTAATCGATTAGATTTGGTTGAAAGACTGATACAAATCCTAAAAGTAAAGTTATAGTACTATACTAATCTGAAATTGACATAATACACAATGCAATACCTACATCCTAATATATCATTATTATACAGTACTTACATCCTTATATGTCCTTCACTTAAGATATGCGAGATATATACATTTTTACAATGACATGTCAAGGGCTTCTCAACATTTAGCCTTGTGATCACAAGCTACTGAGAGTTTCTCTGAAATGAAACCTATCAGGAAAATAAAATTGATACTAAACCTAATTTCTCACAGGTATTAACACCTGTGACTTAATCAATGCTTGCTGGACACATACAGCTCGATTGTAAAATGGGCTGTTAAGTATTTTCTTCTTTTTCTTCAGGTCTGAAAATTTTAGCCAGTGCGTCACACTACTGGCCCCTGGATGCAGTAGATGGGATATATGGACTGTGGGATGTAATTGGAAACCGAACAGGTCATATTAATGGAAATAATATAAGTATGTGAATGTGACATGTGTAGGCTAAACATATTCCTGTCTGTTTGAATGGTCTTTGTTGTTCAAAATAGACTGTTGTGTCTTGTTTCCTGGGGCACATTTTGATAGGATTTCACTCAAAACTATTGTCCCTAGTAGAATAATATTGCTGCTAATTAGACTGGTAATCCAGTCATTATTAAAGATGCTAACCTTCATAATTAATGAACAGCATTTAAATATACAGTATATGTTTGATGTCTTACAGTCACTGTAGATCTTCATGGAATACGCTATGATAAAAAATCTATGAGGTACAACATTTTCAATAGTCTGTTATGGGTTGCATAACTGGAGATAAAAATAAAATGTTAATTTAAATGGAGAGAAATCATTGTCTGTGATTTTAGTTAGCTACTGCTGACAATGTGTACATTTGAAAGTTCTTGTTAGATTACAGCAGGATCTTACACCTTCCGTATGCTCATTTCAATGCGTTGTGACACTTTGCAAGCTATTATATTATATTATGTAGCTTTACAGGCTATTGCGTAGGAAACAATTAGCTAACTTTTACTATATTGTCAAGTACCCTTTTAAATTCCATACAGCAGCATTGCTGTTTTAAACATATATTTTCTTGTGTTACCTGGCAAAGAATCCATCACTTTGGATTGAGACAATTGTGAATCTAGCTTCACTAGTATGTAAGGCACGTTACGGATAATACCTACAAGGCCTTGAATAACTGCAAGGAAAATACATCACACTAACAGATGCATACCAGAAAGAAAAACCTTTGAAAGCTGCACTTAATTGAAGGAAATGTTTTTGAAAATGACTTAAAGGAAATGTAAGACTGCTGATGCCAGAAAGCTGGAAAGAGGAGTGGAGTGCAATATGTTTTGTTCAGGATTATCTATTTTTCCATGCAGGATAAAGAAAAACTGGGATAAAAAGCTTGGATAGCCAGGCATCAAACTGGAAAGTTATAGAACCATTAACTAAAGAAAAGACGGTATCCAGTATTAAATGGTGTGGTATACCAAACACCTATTAGATATTTATTGGTTGTTAATGTACTTTTATTTTCCCTTCAACTTAAAAATCACAGTTACTAATTTATGCCTGTAAAAACGTTTTGAAGTGAGCTGTTTTTGATCTTGAAATTTTGTTTTTACTAGTCCTAATAAGGCAGGACACTTGCTTTGTAGCTACAGATACAATGCATAAACTAAGAATGTTTTTTGTTTAATGCAAATCAATGGATGGCAAGATTCACAATAGATACTTGCTGTTGTTGTTCACAACATCCTGTCTCAGCCTAAGCACTGTACAATAGGACCTTACTCACACTGTTTCATTACCTTTCTGTATGGCCATGTTCATCCTCTTTGTCTTTGTGTGTCATTGTTTTTCACCAGCCAAGTGGCGATCTGTGATTCACCTGTTGTTCTTGTTTTTGTTCCATTCAGCTCTCAGAATCCACAATCACACTGTGCTCCCTTCCCATAATTCTACCTCTGTGTATACCAATGACTCTGCCTACACTAACATTTCTGCAACTGTGGGTGAGACATCAGTAGTAAATTAATTTGAGTGTACCACAAAAGAAGCAGTATTTTTCAAGAAGAGATTTGATTAGCGTGTCTATAAAAGTCTGTTTTCAAACCCCTTCTCTTATGGCCTGGAATAGAGGTTGTGGTTTTTTTTTAATGGGGAGTTAAAAAAGGCTGAAAAGCTGTCATTTGATTTGTACAATGTGCAATATTTTTTTTGAAACCATTTCGTACAATGGCACATCGTAAGCCATTTTGGTTGAAACGTAAGTCATTTTTAATATCCTTGATTGTGCCTATCTGGAATTGATCAGGAATCATTTGTAATCCTGGCTAAACAGCAAGTTAATGACATGAATATAATGACATGGGTCTAAACAGAGGGGTTTCAAAACATTGCTTATGATGAGTATGGTGGGACTTTCTGTTCAGGAAAATTAATTATGTGGAAAGAAGGAATAAAAAGAGCTTTTTATTCAGTACAGATGTCACCTTTAAAACAGCGTGTCATTTTTTGAAGCAATAGAGTGATGATTAAAGTGTTGACATCTAAAGAGAACGCAGATGTGAGAATTAAAAAAATAAAAACAGTACACTGTAATCTGTTATTCTGTGATACATTAGCGTAATGTTTTGTTAATGAAAAGTCCATTGATTTTTCATCTCTTCATAATCTTTGAAAATATTGCATTAATTTAATGTAATCCATCCTCATTTAAAATAAAAACCATCTATTTACAGGATATTGCAAAATATTCTATGTGGACAGATTAAGACTTTTACTTCCAATGAATGCTTTTTCCAAAAACCAACTTGATTAAAGTGGTTTGTGACTTGAGATCAGAATTAACAGAAATTAGTCAAGGACATACTTTTGAACACCAGAAATCTTTATTTGGTTCAGGATTATACAAACATATGAATGGCCAAAACCACATCTCTACCTCTAGAGAGATCTTGAGGTTTACATGTTTATGGATTAGTTTTCTGTATACTGTATCATAGATTATTATACTGTGATCTTTTGTTAAATGGTTGATTCTTTGGCAAAATCTAATTGTGCATAATTGTATGTCTTGATACAGATCATACATTTAAGTCAGGAACAAAGTTGTGTTAATAGTGCAAGAAAAAATAATCTATTTTTCCTCTTTCTTGCTTGTAGATATTGTAGAGGGGTTGGTAGACAAAGGGGTTTTTCTGAATGGAGATGATGGAGCCACATTTTTACATTTTGGGACTTATAAGAACTCTTGTATTAGTGACCCAGCCCTCTGTGGACCTGAAGGTTAGAATTACATTTTTTTAATAAAATTTAAAGTCTTCAGTTCTCAAAGTGTTAAGTTCTGTTAACCTTGGAGAATAGAAAAAAAACTGTACTTGAGGTAAAAGGATTTCTCATGTGTCATCAAATGTTCTAATATTTTAAAAAACAGTTGATTAGTACACTTATTTAGATGATCTTATCATAAATATTTGTTTATATATTATAAATAAAATATTATTACTGTTTGTCTGTTTAATAACTTCCATGTTAAATTTAAAATCATTTGAAGGTATTGCCAAATATGTTAACTAAAGTGCTCTTTCTACTTACTTATGATTGTCTTTTCATTTAAAAAATGTTGAAAAATGTTCCATTTTTTGTCAAGCTTTGCACAGCAGCAAGAAGTTATTAAAACTGACCTGCTAATTTTTAAAACTATACTAAAACAACCAAAGTGTGAGCTCATTCCCCATCTGGGTTTAAATGTCTTTATTTGCATTCCAGAGTGGTTGAATTGCATTAGCCAGAACTTTTTTACTTATAACAAAAATCACTTCGTCCAAAGACAGCATGAGACGCAAAGAAAAAAAAGCTTTTCTATTTCAGTGGCTCGGTGGAATATAAAAAGACAGTTTATGTGGAATATGCAGATATTATTTTTTCTTCATTTTGTGTTTATAAATTCTTTGTGATTTTGGAATATCAAACGTAAACATTTCCGTTCTGGCATAAATTTTTCATTCCTAGTTTTGAATTCTCTTTCCTTTTTAGAAAGAGATGGGGGAAAAGCTTAATTCAAATGCTCTATAGGCTAGAAGATATTTCTGATCAAATTTGCATAGGTTTTTTTACAAAACCACCGCTTTCAGCTTTACTGTGTAATAGGTACAGTATAGTCAATTTCAGGAAAGTCTGAATCTTCAAAACTACTTTTAGTGGTTTGCAATGACTCATATAATGAACACATGTAGAGCTTGATCTCATTAGTCATTGAACACCAGGGATGAAGTTAGAAGCCATTTTCTTAATTGCCATGAAAGAATTCAGAAAATCACATAGATGTCTTCATGCAGGTCTGTGTATGGGAACATCATTTCATAATGCTCTATGGGTCAGTGCCTTTTGGATGTTCAACAGGTCCAGGACAGCTGTGGGTTGACCACCTGTGTCACTCTTATGTTATGACCTAGATCAATGATTTATGTCCATCAGTTATTTAGGCTTCTGTAGACTTTAGAGCAGGAGAGCACAACAGACTTCATGGAATAATTCATTGTTATAGTGCTGTCACTCACTTCCGGACACTCCCTGGAGCAGGGTGTTGGTCTTTTGATGCAGTCTGTTTACTGGTTTAGCGCTTGCATGGGCTACATGGACAGGGCCCTGGGGACTTGCCCAATGCATTGCTTAAGCGAACACAAATGCTGCACTTGTAATACATTTTATGTTCTTTCATCCAAAGAAAAGGTGCACCACCTGCAGTACAGTGCATTACTAACTTTCTTGTTTTCATCTTTAGGAGTCACATTCTCCTTTTTCTGGAAGACCCATGAAACTCAGTCCCGCGTTGCAAGTTCCTCAGGAGGAAAGGTGATTTCCAGTGGCTTTTTAGTCTGTGTCAATGCCCACATGGGCTATGTCGAATTCTACACCCCTGAAAACTCTCGCAGATGGAGAGCAGACATCAGCCTCCCAGGTAAGACTTTGACAAAGGCCCACCTTGTTTTTCAAGAAAATTTGAAGAAAAGTGTTAAAATAACTTTGATTTTGTACCCAGAAACCTGGCTCCCTTCCAACATAATTGAATTCATAAATCAAGCAAATTGTGTTTCAGCTGGATTGATTTCTGCACTCAAGATACAGATACAAATGAAAGATTTCAATTTGTCAGGCATCTCGGCATCTCTGAGGCAGAAACATTTTGGTTTTGGTAGAAAAGCTTTGGTAGAATTTAAGAGTTAATTTAAAATGTCATATCTTTAAATGCTAAATACTGTATATTGTGCTCTGTATTCACAGTACTCTCTGCCACCTCCAAAATTTTGAAGCTTCTGCTATCATGATGTGATTGTTGATTTCTACTTTTTCTCTTTCTCTGACCTGGCCTGGCATTCCTGAGAGGCTATTATCAACTGGCACTGGAATTTTGGAACTGGCTTTGTTCCATTTCCAGTGGCTGGTATTTCACTGAAACATGTCTGTACTTTCATATTTATCAGATAGCTTGAGGGTTGAGGATCACATACACAAGTACCGAAACTTAAGCAGAAAAAGCACTCAAGAAACCCGTCAAATTCATATCTTTCTAGTTTCTTTACTCCAACACTTAAAAATGAATAACAAATTCATTGTATGAATTGTATATAAATGTATAAACACATTTTAGTCATGTTTGGAAACCCTTTATCCTATGAATCACTTGAAAGTGCAGTGGTGTCATGCTTGCATCACTTCAAAATGACTTCGAAAGGCTATACCACCAGGTCATTAAAGGAGGACATATGGTTTGTAATTCAGCATTAAATCTGGGATCACTTAAATGTATTGTGCGCTATTATCTGCTGGAGTAGGAGTAGGAAGCTGCTGCAGGGAAGGTAATTTTCTCCAGTGACGTAAGCCTAAAGACAATGAATGATCATTTCAGAAGTTCACTATTTTCATTAATTCTGAGGGGTTAAAACAACAAAAGAAGCATCTTATGGCCTGGCCACCTCTGTTAAACTTTATTTCTGTTACTGGTGTACTTATTTGTATTTTTCTGGAGTTTGTGGAAAGATAAGGACCAGCTTAAGTCAAAACCAGATTTTAAACATTCTACATCTGCAAAGAATTAACTGCATCTTAGACATCACATGCAAGAAAAAAAATCAAGGTAAAGATCTGCAGTTGTCATTAAAGAAAGAAAACCAAAAAATGTGCATAGAATAAGGTAGCTAATTTTACATGTGGTTAATGTAACCTTTTATCAGGAAGTTTTGCCTAAAAGCTTAATCTGCCACCTTCTCCTTTTGTGTTACAATGAGCAAGTCAAATAAACCTCCTTGTGCTCTGTGTTTCAGATATGATAGTGAGATCAATTGTAGCAAACCAGTGTTTAGATGTGTTTGACATGCGACACTATCACAACAAAAAACAGAATTTTAAAGGTGTTTCAGGTCACTGGGTCAGCAGCTAACTGAGGGCTCACTCATTCAAGAATGGAATAGTGTTTTTTGCAGAAGCACTAGTGACGAACATTATCTTGTCCTTTCAGATGTGACATCTCTAATGGACATCTGTCATTGTTTTCTTAGGGCTGTACTGGATAAACATACTATTCACGTGGACCCTGGACAGTGGCCTGAAGGTTTATATCAATGGAACATTTAATGTCAGTGACCCAAGGGGTAGCATATCCAACAACTATGGAGATCCTCAACAGGAAGTGGTCATTGGAACAGGCAACGGCCAATCCTATAGGCATTATGTAACGGGGGCATTTGATGAGTTTGTGATCTGGGAAAGAGCCCTAACTCCCGAAGAAATCAGACTGTATTACATGGCTGCCACAGGTAAGGCTCCTTATACAAAGAGGGCAAAACGGATAGTAGAATCCTTTTCAGGTATGGCAACGACATTTTTCGGCTGTTTATTTTTGCTCTGGGTGAAGTTTTGTCGTCTTTTCATTACATGTTTTTCGCTTCAGTTTTATGGGTACCCACATTCCAGTAAGGAACTAGTCAGACCTTAATTTCCTCCTGAAGGCCGACTGCATTCCTGGGTTAAGTAGCACATATATCAGAGAAGGAAATAATGGATAAAGTTAAATTATTGAAAGCCAATCAGAAAAAAACGAGTGTCTGTGTTTATTTCTTTTATTTTATTGAAGGTGAAGTGTGTGCTGTGATGTCAGCAGTGGAATTTGAACTAACTTGTCGTGTAGACTTTGAAGACCTTTTCCAAGTTATGGATTGCCATTTCAAGTTCTGCATCCTTCCGTACCAGGAGTTTGTGAAACTTCACAGACCAGGCAAAGGCAAATTCCATGTATAACAGTTTTCAATAATCAAAAAAGTAAACTATACTGCATAATTTGGTTCTTTGCCATTTAAGTCATTGACAATATTGGATATTATTATGTACAATGACTTAAATGAAGTGGATATCCTACAGGTAAACCAGTCAGAGTACTGAATTAACAAGACCATGAAAATTCTGGGGAATGCACTGAAAAGGATTGCATTACTGTTGAGTTGGGAGTTCTGTGACACATTTCTGCCAGGAAGTGAGAATAAATGGGTTCTGTAATGTTATGACTTAATACTATTAATGGTTTAAAAGTATTCAAACTGAATTTGTTATAGAAACATAAACTGAAAAAAGGAGAACAGTTGCAAAGGAAATGCTGGTTTTTAACCCAGTTAACCAAATAATGTTGGAGCAATATAGAAAAGTACAAAAGTACAACTTAATATGAAGCACAAATTTATCTATTCCAGTTGATGTTGTCAAAACATTTTTTGTTATATTTTTGTCACAACCAAAATGTAACATTACCACCAAGCTCCTGCAGTGTTCAGCATGTTTTTTGTAACTTTTAAATAATTTGCAAAAACATCACCAATATAATAACATCTTAAAACATTTAACAAAGCTTTTGTATTAAGTTTTGTTAAATGTTTTACATTGTAATAATGTGGTGTTTAAATTGCTGACATAACCTGTCTACTCACTTCTAGTAATGCATAAAAACTGCTAAAACTGAAAAACAAACTTGCTGTAGTATTTGGAAGGATTGTTTCCTAACAATATTCAGTATTTGGAATTCATGTTTTGTCAGGTTGTGTACCCAAGTAAATAAGTTCAAATCATCTTTCAGACATAGTTTATAATTGAAAGCAATGCACTAGAATTAAAGGTCAAAACCAAATGGTCTAGTAAGGGAGTAATTGAAATAGACAGGACTGAAGTAACCTTCTCTTGGTAGATGTTAATATAAATGTTAGTAATTAAATTGACAGCAATTGGATGTCAGTATTAGTAGCAAAGTAGTATGAAAAGTATTCAGTCTTGCTGACCAAGTTTCTATTTCAACAACAATAATCTGTTAAGCAGAAGTGGACGTTAGGAAAGGCCTTTGTGTTTTCAAGGAAACGGTCTACAAAATCTAATTTTTCTAATGTTGTTGCCAAGGACTGTTTTTGCTAAACTGTTATGGAAAGCTGTCATAACATCAATAAAAATCTGGAAAGATAATTTGACGTAAATAGTAGTTGTGTCTATATAAACAGAACACAAAAGCTTTTATAGAGCTTTACAAAACATAAAGCAAAATGCTTTTTATAAAATTAGATGAAGTTTAAAGCATTTAACTCTATTTTATAGCCTTCTATGGTAAGCAGCAACAATGAAGTTGTTAATGAAGTACCAAAGTTTTCTATTTACATTTGGAACATATGAACTCATACATTTCAAAATGTCTCTTAGGCTTGATATATTGACACTGGAGAGCATTTTTTACATTAATGTTTTTTTCATAATAATGGCTACACTCACAGTGTATTTTACTAATTTTATTTTGGGTCATGTTCAGGTTTTTTATTTGAAGCCTTGAATCATAGGTCTCTTTTCCTGTGCCCAGTCTTAACCTTGTCAGTAGATTGAAGAGATTCTTATTAGGATGTCAGAACAGACTGGTTCTCTTCACTTGTTGAGAATCAAAGAAATCTGAAGGTTTTTCAGTATGAATGAGAAGTATAATTTCTTGAAAAAACAGAACTACAGATTATTATGTTTCTGCATATATGAAACAGTAGCTTTACTGTAGCCAGCTTCAGATTTGTGGCATTAAGATGAAGATTATGCATGCATCCTCTAGACATACAGATAATTCATCTCTTATTCACCCTGCCAGATTGCAGAGACAGTGAAAGCCTTCGAGCTCTGGTTAAAGCAGGTCACATTGCTAAATTACAGGTGCATGGAAAACCAGAGGGGTCATTTGTGCATCTGGGGTAGTGTGCATTGGGACGGAGTGGTGACACTGTGGCTACGGATCTGTACCTGTGCCTGTGGCTGGAAGGTTGCCAGTTCAAATCTCGCAACTGGCAGAGGAATCCCACTCCGTTTGGCCCGTGAGCAAGGCCCTTAACCCCAGCTGCTCCAGGGGTGCTGTATAAATGGCTGACCCTGTGCTCTGACCCCAAGCTTCTCTCTCCGTGCCTATTGTGTCTCATGGAGAACAAGCTGGGGTATGAAAAAAGACCAATTCCTAATGCAAGAAATTGTATATGGCTAATGAAGTGATCTCATCTTATCTATCTTATCAGCATGGAAAGCCAGTGAGATTGCTGATCCTCAACTTGTTGTATAGGGCTGCATGTATAGGGGGGATCCCAGTCATACTCTGTTAATGGTACAACCCAGTCATACTCTGTTAATGGCACAGTCTAGATTACAAGCAGTACTGTCACAATTATAGGGCTCAGCTGTCATTTTGGACAGGTTCCTTTTCTGGGTGGCCCACTTGGGAGCACAGCACTATATTCACCTCAGTTAAATTACTGTTCTGGCTACAAAACACCAGTTCTACATTTCTGTAACTTTGAATTTGTTATTTCTAAAATGTAAAGTTGTGTTTCATTGGTTGCAATGGCCGGCTCCTGTGCATATTTAGAAGCGTCCACTTCATTAGTCACTCTGTAGTTTCCAACATGATCCGTTGTTTCCACAAGCATGCTCAGTTCCACTTTGAATGGAAGTGATGGCAAGCCTACTGGGCAGCGCAGGACTCCGTTTAAGCGCGCATGAAACTGTTTAAACCATTATTTCAAATTGGCTGTCGTAAGGCTATCATAAAAAGGTTCCAGCAGCAAAAGCAAAGCTGCTTTCACATATGAATCCTGCTGATAATCTTGCTTTTCAGGTCAGTTTCATTTAAACATAATAGCTAAAGCTTTAAACATTAGATGACAATGTATTTACATGGGTACAATGAAAAAGATTTATTTGATATAGCATCTGGTTATTTGCATTATGTTTGCTTGGGGAATGTATTTACGATATCCTTTCTTGTATGGGTGCCTTAACACACAGATATATATATATATATTAGCCTATATACAGTATAACAAAGAACAGAATTATTACATCACTTACACTGGGGTGAAATGTGATTAGAATGATTGTTTGATGACATTTTAAACAGCCCTAAGCATTAATGTGCATAAATGAGACTGGGAATAATCACTAGTAGAAACTGTATCCTGGCACTTGGGGTATAAACACTCCTAAACATAGCCGGCTGCCATATGTTTGGTTCTGTGTTAAAGGAGGTACACAGATTTTTGGAGCACAGAAGTCTGTGTACTGTCCCATGTATCCGACTGTTCTTCCAGGATGGTGCAAATTAAAAAACGAGATGAAAATATGTAAATTGAGACAGAAAATTAGACATAAATACTATTAAATACAAAGTTATTGACTTGTCTCTTGAAACTGTACACCACAGATTAAGTTCGGTTAGAAATCTTTCTGAAATCAGTGTTGAATATTTGCTATTACTTGCTAAGATGATCACCATTCAGCAAACTTCAGTACCGATAATACCACACTAACTTACTAGATAACATACTGGTAAATGAGAGTAGTCTATTTATTTAAACTTGAGTATTACAAGTCAGCAAATAACATTGTTTTAAATGTCCATTTGAAATTGTTTGAAATAAAATTTTCTCTGCGATTATATGGCTAGTCATAAAAAAGGGAATGGTGCAAATAAACATGATTGCAGATTTTTAAAATTATTTATGAATGTCATCTTCTTTAAGACACAGTCATCTTGTATACACATTTGCTAAGTCAAGAGCTTTAAAAGGAAAGGAGACTTTAACAGGAATTGCAAGCAAGATCTTACAGTAAACTATCCTCCATTCCTTCCTTTCATCTCAGTCATATTTATATGAAAAAGCCTTTTATGTAGGTTTATCATTTTTATTGTCAACTGGAGTTTGTCTTCATTACAGCAGGTCCTGTTCTGCAAAGTCAAAACAAAAGCATGAGATAATGCAATCTAATGCTTAGATGAAGCCAATGATAAAGGGTAATGTAGGAATGTTGTGTTGTGCATGATCTTATAAGGTTATGTGTAGATCCAAGTTCATCTTCCTGCCTAGGAGATGAGACATGCCTTTCTAAGGACTGGTTCTTCAGAGGCATTTTGCAACTAAATGCAACTAAAAGGAATGAAAAGTAAAAACAAATACTTAAAATTACAATGTGATTGGAGTTTTTTATTGCTGTGTGCTGAGGTTGTCTGATTTGTTCTGCGCATTGTTATATCACAAACAAGTACAGCTTGTAAATTGTAGCCCTTCTGCCCCCAGGCAATTGTGCAATTGTGTTAGCAAAGAAATCGTGAAAAGAGCGGTCTGTTTTCTGTCCTTTGAGAGCTTTTAAACACTACTGTTTACTCACCACATGCCTAGGAATATATCTCAAAAGTACAATTTTGTAGTTTGTGTTCAAGGCTGGTTGCCTTGTACACTCAATAACAATATTGCACACATTATTATTTTCTCTAATTTAGGGGCTATTCCATGTTTGTCTTTAAATGCAAGGAACTGTACACAAACGGTATATTACATTACCCAGATCTTGACTTTTAATACAAATTATGTTTTAATCTATCAAACGTAGAGAATGGGCTTTTTTGTTACAACAATCCCCCAAGTTCTAAAGTTCTAAATTAAAGAAAAAACATATATGACTTACACAAATATTTATTATCAGTGTATTTATCTCCTTGATTATCATCTAGTATGCATATACACATGAAATTAACTTCACCTTTGTGTTCTAATGTTATTTTGATGTTAACTTTAAAACCTTGAATTAATTTGTGCAGTGATATATCTAAATATCAAAAGCTTGTGGCTAAAGCATTTTTCCTCCTTTTGGACCTGAACGTAAAGATGGCGCTCTGGAGTGACATTTTAATTGAATGAACCTCATAGTGTTGGCAGCAGCCAGTCTAATTGTTTTTATGAAATGTACCATCTGTACCCTTTGACCTTCAAGCTTGTAAAAATGCTTGAATGTTTCTCCAAAAGATCGCAGGAGTCCATACAAAATTTACGAAGTGCTCACAGCATGTGTGACTCGAGTTTAAAAAGACGACCGCACAAAGGCCTATTGAGTTCCAATGACCTTCCATGCCCACATCACTTGCAAAGCAAAATTTCCATGTTAGAGAAGGTTCTGGATGGGATCTTAGCAGGATCTTAGCACCATGTTTGCCATCTTGCTGTTATCATTAACAAGCATATTTCCTTATTTTTCCTTCAGGGCAGCCAGTTTTGATGTCTACAACACCCTTTGTCCCAAACTCAGCCAGTGCTACAGTACCTCCCATGGTGAGTTTAAAGATGATTTGAGAAATGAATGTATTGTGGACTGCAACTCTCAGTCCTCATTTCTTTAATAACTTCCTGTTTCCTCTGAATGCTTACCTCACTGCAAATGTCACATCTTTCAACTCATTTAATGAAATGTTATTTAGGCACTCAGCCTTTTCTTGTTAACTGCACCAAAGAATATCTTTAAGGCCATAGACGGTGAGTAAATAAAACTTTATTACAAGGAAAAGCAATAAATATGGTGGATGATATGAGATGCTGAGATAAGGAATGATCAGTAAAATAAAAGCTGATATTCAGTGTAACCTACATACTGTATGTCAAATCACAAAAACTTTTATTTTGGATATATAATTATATCATGTTGGAAATTTATATCAATTTGGATATGTTTATTACTGTAAAATTTAGAGACTCCTAAACGTGTCAGTTTGTTTGTCAATGAATCATAGGTCAATGGAATTATTCTCTTAGTAAAGATGTTTTCATATACTGTACGTTGATTACACTCCAAATAAAGACAATAAAGAGAAACAAAGCAAAATTGCTAAGTCAGTCTTATCATGCAAATACTAAATACTGTTTATTCTACCTCCTGTCCAACCCCAACACTGAAGTTGCACCACTCATTTAGCAAGCTTTTAAATAAACACAAAACCTGGGAGCACTGAGCTGTAAAACACCAATTTTTAAAAGAAGCTTTTGATAAAAAAAAAAGTTACTTCTGTTTATTGTAGTTTTACTTCACCTCCTATTAGGTTTTATTTCTGAGCATGTTTAAAAAATATGGGTCTCTGCAGGCTTGTAATTGTTTTTAAATATTTTTCATGATGTACTCTATCACAAATGTGGTATTAAGCAGTCAGTTTTGTAAAAACACGTAAGCAGATGGTGTTGTTGGATTTTAGAGATATAGCTGAGGATCTCAAATTAAAGTCCAGGCAGGACTGTCCTGGCCTGCTGGCCACAGCTGATGAGTGGCCCAGTCATTGATCTTCTGGGGTTTTAATGCTCTGTCCATGGAGATCTTTTCGGCATGGTGTCTTTCAATCATACTGTTTATTTATCGTAGAAGTCCTACAGGTTGATAGCCCAAATTAAAGAAGAACTAAACACATACTGAATAAATGGAAGCAGAGGTGATGTTGTGAAACTTTCCTGGTGTAATAGTACATAATGAGACATGATGTTATCAAGAAAAACAATGTCTGAAATGTGGTGGATGATCATGTACAAGTGGTATGTCAATATGTTGTCTCCTGTACAGCCTGAATGTCAGTATGTGTCCATGTTCCCTTATGTGATAGGCCTCTACTGATGCTTACCATCCAATAATAACAAACCTGACAAACAAGGCCCAGAACTTTCACTATCCGGTGCAAATGCTTGGCTTTCTGGAAAATGTTTCCATCAACCTTCCCAACAAGACTATTCCTGAAAACACTGCCTCCAACTTGACTGAGGTATCTCAATCTTTTCCAAAATAAAGTCAGCATTAACATTGTAAACATCTTTTCCTTTATTTTATAAAGACAATGTTTTTACGTTAGGAATTATAGCGTGCAAGATAAAATAATATGGTTTTGGATTGTTATGGCAGCTTTTTTGAAATATCACCAATGTAAAGCAGATGCAGAAACCATGAAAGCCTAAACGAATCTTCCTTTTTTCTTTATCAGGCATTTTTAAAGACTGTTGAAGAGGTACTTTCCTTACCTGGGTGGCCTGATGAGGTTAGCTGCAATATTTCACTGTGGTTAATATTACATTAAATTAAACAAGATTGTTCTAGTGCATATCCCAATGGTAAACTTTGCTCAAAGCATGGAAAACCTAATCTCAAACCTCAACACAGAGTAAACAGATAAATATGGGCTTCTTAGACAACGAAAAAATGTTTTAAAGAGGTTGTGGTTTGTATGTGAGCAGCACCATAGCCAAGCTTAGTTCTTATTACATGAAGAAATTGTAAACCAGATGTTTTAATACTTGAATACATTCCAGCAAATTACACAGAATCTAAAGTAGACTAGAAGGCACTGAGTATCAGATTTACATAGAACCTAACGCAGACCAGAACGCACTAAATATCAGATTTACCCGCTGTAAATTCCTCTGGTCTCAGGTCTCTTATAAAAGCTATATTAAGCATATGAAGTATTGCCTATTATAAGAGATATATAAAACATATTCAGGGTGTACAGATGTAAATTTATTTTTTTAAACTCTGCAAAAAGGTGCTAAAGGAGGAAACCCGCAATGCCATATGCAATATCAGATAACAATGATCAGAAATTATCCTTTTGCTCTTTCTGTGACCGAGATGTATTAAGTGCTAAATTAGTATATATACTAGTAAATATACTAATTGTGGGGAAAAAACACTGCATATATGTAATTTTCCATTTTTTATTATGTAATATATCATTTTTAGAGTTTCCATATGTGTAGGGTTTAACATGTAGGGTTTAATTTAACATGTGTAGGGTTCCTGTATCAATCTTCCCGTCTTGTGATCTTAATGGATAATTCTTTAAAATGTCAATGTCATATGTGTTACCTTCTCACTTTGTGAAAATGGCTGTTGTTCTTCAGGACAAAGTGGCACATAGGAACATTCGAAGAATTTCCTTGTATTCATAGATAGCACCTTTACACAAGCTTTGTCACAAGCATTACACAAGACACTCAGCTTTGTCCAAACTTGAATTAGCAAAACTCATTAAATAAATTCTAAATAAAAAATAAAATAAATAACTCATCTTTTGACTTCTGTACCTCTATACTGTTTAACTGGATGCCAATTATTTTTTTCTTACATTGTCTTCTGTACATATCTGATTATGCATGCATCTTTTTTTTTTACTATAGTCTACCCCAGTAGCCAGTGGTTTGATTGAGACAGTTGAAAAAGTCATGTTACACATGGTTTACAACCTTGAATCCAGTACCCAGACTGTCATATCCATTGATGGGACCTCATCAGTAGCAGGTACCTTTAAAACCTTTGCACTCCCACCACTATAGGAAATTAATGACACAGGCCAATGATTGGTTATTTATGGACCTAGATTTTACTTCTTTCTGCACTAAATGAAGTTGTACCTTGCTTTTTTATTTGTTATACCTTGGATCTGAAATATCAGGATTTTGAAGATTTTTACTACTAAAGGAAAGTGGTAGAATGAAGGACCTCTGTTTCAGATGAGATTTATATTTTATAAGATGTTTTTCCGCATAGTCATATTTCGATTTTTTTCTTTATTGTTCTCACTTCAAAGGTTGACCTCTCTCTTGCACAACCATCTCTTGTGAAAAAGTCTCAGGCAAGATCCTTAATAAACAGACCAAATTTGTATTCTTGATACTGACATCACATTTCACTCTCTATATCCCATACGTTTCAGCCAAACTTGTAAATACATTCCAGAGAATGAATAATATTAACAAATGAAGTGGTGATTGCCATCGTGTGGAGCCTGAGCTGCACTAACAGATTTGTTTCTTTGTCTTTGCATTCTGACAGATTATTCTCTTGTAAAGATCCCACAGAAAATGAACATGTCCCATTACCGCTTTCCCATTAAGGGAAAGAACTATATTTCTGTGCCTGGGGAAGCTTTCACACACAACTGTGAGTATAGGAATTCCTTCCTTCATGTTTCTATATCTAAGTGTATGTGAATTTGCCTTTAATTGTATTTTTTAATTAACCATTTCAACATTTAGCTAAATTGCCAGATTTTGAAAAGGCAGTCCATCATCAATTTTTGCCAACCCAAAATGGGTGAATCCTTTATTTTCTGTGTTTTGAAAATATTGAAAGAAGGTGTGGTAAAGAGAAACAGGAACACAGTAGTTAGGAAATATGCACATGTTAATGTGATGCAAAATTGACAGCAGTACAGTACTTTCACCTTTTTTGCTTGGGAAGTTTGTTGGAGTAAAAAACTTTAACCACTTTGGAGCACGTTCCTCTGTTGTTACTGTACTTGCTAGGTGTCATGAAGTGTAACATTTGCTCATTATAGAATTATATAAAAAAAGGGCTACAACTGGCGAGTTTACATTAATGTTTATTTCTCCCATGAATGGACAAGGCACACGTATGCGAGTGGAAAACTTGTGAAAAAGGCCCCAAAGTCGGCCTCAGGTTTTCCCGGGAAATACTCAAATTCCAACTTTTTTTCAGGATATAAAATTTTCAAGTAATGGAAAACACACACACATAAACTAAGCCAACAGTATCTGGATCTTATCTCTATAATGTGCTTTTGCATTGTTGCAGATGTTCCTTCTAAAATAGTAAAACTACTGATTAGTATTCAAGCCAGCAACACAACACTTTTCTTTACAGCAGCATTGTTCTTTATTATAGCATTCCACCAGGTTTGTTTGTAAAAGTGGAAGACCTGGGGGATATCCTAATACATTCTGAATGTTTAATATTCTCAAAGAGCTTTTTATTCAAAACAGTAGATCTCCTGCTCATTAGCATTCAAGCCAATAACAGCAAAACTAACAATCAAAAGCTTAGTAGAGCTCCACGTGTTTTACAGCAGTATTGTCCTTCACTGTAGGATTCTGTTAGGGTTATTTATGAAATGAAAAGACTTCAAGGATGTCCAAGAAAGTATTGCATTAGGTTTGTATTCTGTTACATAAAAATGGCTGCAAAAAACAGTTTTCTGTAAGATGATAAAATGATCATCTTTTACATAGCATTCCTTTAATAATTTTAAAGCTTATCCCAGAGCTGTCAACACAAATGTAACTGATTTTTCATTATATTCATAGAAATTTAAGCACAGCAACCTGTTCTTTTCTTCTTCACTTCCTATTCCCATCTTTCGTTACACCTGTATTTTATGACAAAACAGTGCTTACCGAGCCATTTAAATTAACAACTTTAATCCTGTATTACAATGGCATTTTCAGCAGTGTAACGTGAAGGAAAGTCTATTTAAAATTAATGCAAGCCTGGACACATGGCATGGCTCATTAAAGGCGCCTAGTGGAGGTTGTATAACTCAGTCAAATGCATGTAAAACAGCAAGACATTTTTGAAAACCAGGTTAAATGAAATTCTAATTAAAAAATGGGAGCCTTTAATGTAAATTTCTGCGAGTATACGTATATTTCTAAATGTGTAGCTTTTGGTAAAGCAGAAAAGAAATTGTCTGTACTATAAGGGTAGATCCGTCTGAAGAGATCCTTATCCATACTGGTGATTATTCTATGGAAGCCTTGCTGTTCTTCTGAAAACAAGACTCAGTCCGGTCCATCAAAGTATGTTATGAGACTGAAAAAGGCAGGGTTCACTTTTCCCAAAGCATGCTGATGTCTCATTCTCTTTCACTTCTCTGCAACCACATTGTCACAGAGGTTTATCTCTTCATGGGATCGATAGCAATGGCCCTCTATTAGAAAGACCATTGTGAAGCCTCAACTGTGCTCAAGGTTGGAACTCCACTAACATAATACAGAACATTTCACCTTTCACTTCTTTGGGGCTTTCAGAGTTCAGGCTTTGTTACGTTACTTGAACAATTTCTGTTTACTTTTCCCTTCTGAGCTCCTGAACCCCTTATGAGATACTTAAAAAAAATAATTTTAGCTGCCTTTTCATAAAAAAAATAAAATAAAATATCCGTGTACCTTTCTTGGGCGACTGACTTTTTGAAGCTTTAAGAAATGTAGAGCCACTTGATAAATTTGAAATACCTGTATTGTTACTGAAGGCTTTTTGTCATGTATTTCTTTTATTAAAAGCTGAATCCAGCTTGCAACACTGCCTTAAACTAATTATGTGCCTCTCTAATTTCATTAATAAATGAAATGTCCACAGCCAGAGAAGTACTGAATTTGTCTGGCTTACTTAGATGTTTAGCGTTGTTCTCTCTTTTTCCTATGGATTATTTTTTCAGTCCTTTAAATGTTGGTGCTGAAGGACCACACACCTGCTGGTTTTTGTTCCAGCCAAGCTTTTAGTTACTTATTACAGCTTTAATGGGATTAATAATAGGAATAATTATTAAACCTGTAGGAAATCTTTAACCTGATGGAGATTGCCATTGAACTATTGCTTTTCACAAGTAACATAAAATCCCAAACACAAATCCTCCAACAACTTGTTAGCTCAATTAAAGCTTCAATCAGGTGATTAAGCTCAGGTGATGTGAAATCCAGCTGGTGTGTGGTTTTTCAGGACCCTGGGAACCCCTGTTTAACATCACTTATTGCTCTGAACAGTGATTAATCTGGGCTTTGTTTTGAGGCTACAAGCCACAGCCTTCAGACAGCATTGCAGAGATTGCTATTGTTTCACATTGTGGGATGCTTTCAGAACACAGGAAGTTACTTCAAGGTTCTGATTTACGTCACATTCCCTTCCCTCCTGCCGATAGTGAAAGCTTCTTTATCAGGTTTTTCACCGGTCAGTGATTAATTTGACAGTGCTGTGGTTTATTGAGACCTTGAATACTAGGGCTGAAGCTTTTAAAAACTGCTTTACTTTCAATGTAGGAAGATTTTTAAAATAAAATCATTATTAGATTTACCTTGCTGTTTCCTTTAAAAGATTAGATTCTGTACATACAGCATATGTGTAAACATCAGTCATATATGTATGCATGTATATACTGAGGGTTAATAAAATACATTTGTTACTATGTTAATTCTTCATTCTGTATTGGATACGATTTGTACCTGTAATGAGAAGTGCTGAATGCCAGGATACACTCCTGATAAGATGAGGCTTTGAGTTGAATCACTAGAGATTAATATTTTAATCCAATGAAATTGTTATTTTTTCAATTTCAAGTGAATTTGATGACTTGACTTTGGTATTTTTTTATTTTACTCTATATTGAACTAATTTGATCTAAACAAAAAATATGTGTAATGAATGGGGTAATTCTGAACTGTGGTCAGTTGGTGTCAAAGGACTAGGCAAGACAGTGTTGTCTCAGATGAGCAGGATTTACAGTAGGGCTGCATGTATTTCTGAGGAACTGACTTTATGAGCTAAGTTAGACACATGGCATGCTGCTGTCTACTTTCACCCACATACAAGCAAACAAGATTCTTATTAGCTGGGGAGTGTAAACCCAGGCAGGTAAGTGCTAATTAATTTCTACAGAGAGCCAGAATTTTACCAGCTCAATGAAAAATGAAAGCTGCAGGTCTGTGATTTGTTTTTAATACACCGATTCATTTCTTTTTTTTTTCCTGTTTTCCTATTCTTATTCCCCCTCAGCACAAACAACCATTGTGGGACTCTTCTACCACACCATGCACAGATACTACAAGAAAATCAACCCACTCAGCACAGAGTAAGTTCTGTCACTGGTGAACCTGGTAGCAACTAATCACGATTTCTCTAACTTGAGTTGAACTACATTATTACCACATCAAAAACTTTGAGTTTGATTAGTTTAATTCGTGTAAAATAGATCCTAAAGGACTGAATGCCCTAGAGCTGATTAAAAGAAAAATATATGAGGATGATATTTAAGTTAATTAATGAAGGTATCTTTAAAAATCAGAATGTCTTACAGGGAATGTGTCCCTAGGCATTTCACTCCTGCTGAGGACATTTTTACAATATCTTCAATTTCTACTGAAACAAACATTGCACACATAATGTGATATACACACATGATTTTATTTTGCTATTTTGTTAGGTTATTCATGCTTTCAAAATCTTTCTATCACATCTGTTACTTTCATTCTTGATTGTTGTAGATTCCACGTTTGTAGAAAACTTTATTAACCCCTTAAAAACAAAATGTTCTTAAGATGAGCGAAAATGTTTAAGTAAACTTTTAAATGTGTAAATGTTTAAGTTAACTTTTTCAGAAATATCTGTCCTCTCTTTTGCTCTGGTGTGAGTCCCAGCTTTCACGTCATCATAAAGCTTGGAATGTTGCTTTCTGTAACTATAACAAGTCAAAAAGTGCAAATACAGTTGTTTCCTTTTTTGTAGGGCTGTCATTGAGAATTATGAATTTCTGAAACGTATACTGTAGTATCGATTCTTAGTTTCACACAGTTAGTACTCTTTTCAGATAAAACGTCAGTTGCTCGTCCTATAATTCACTGATAAGCCATTAATTGTTAAATCACTTGAATCAGAATTTACTAATAGTCAGATAAATTGACTACAGAGTACAGAACGAGACTTAATAGTTATTGAGTTATAATAGTTATTAATCCTATGGTAATCTCCTAATCTCAAACAAAGTAAAAATGCTTTCACCCCTGCTTCCACAATAATATAACTGAAAATATCAAGAGAGCCTGAGCATTGTGAATTGTGAATTCTACACTGGCGACCATTAGTATTCTGTATTAAATTTGTATTCACAGGGCTGTCAGGGGAAACATATACTCTATAATAAAGAAACTGTGAACTAGATACGGCACATGCCCTTATTTCATTGGATTTTTACACAGTATAACATACTGTGGAAGGTATTATTTTCTGTATGATTAAGAGTTTTTTCAACTTCAAACATAGTTAAGATTGGTTTAGCATTTAGAAAAAAATAAGATTCGATTTTACAGGATCTAGAGAATTATGTTATTGAAGACACTAAAGCAATGCTCCTAATGCTTCTCAGATTACAGTTGTATTGGAAACACACTGTACAGTACCAATAGCAAGCCACACCAATGTGCATGGAGAAGATACTGTCTTTGTGCATATAGGGAGAATCCGATGTTCAATCAGTTGAAACCGTGGTTTTCACAATGTTATGAAGACACTGCTTCCAAATGTGGCTTAAATGTGTGAAGTGAAATGGGAACTAAGCAGAAATGTAAGCCTACACACATTTTCACCCAAGTTATTGCTAGCTATTACATTGTACTTGAGTTCAATTGTAATAAATCAGTTGTCAGAAAAAAACTGGGACCATTTCTTTTGTGGCAACTCTCCTATTTTCAGCAGTTTAAAACAATAGTCATGGGAACTCTACAGCACTGAAATAAACAGGAAATTCTAGCATTTTTACATTTGGTCAGGATTGTTTTTTGAATTTGCTGTCGAATCAATTATGGTTAACTTTTTATTCTTCCCGCACACTTACTTGAGTGCAACCTGTTTCCGTGCAGTGTTGTGTCACACCACTAAGTTACTTGTTGCAATCTTTTTTCTGCTTGTTCTCCATAAACGGTTACATAACTGTATGTAACAGCTATCTGATGATTTCTCCTGACTTAATTTTGCATCAGTGCCTAGTAAATGGAGTAGCTGGTGTTTAATTTAGTGTGGAAGTGAGAATGTAAGGCTAAATAAAGCTTGAGTGCACCTCACAAATAAATGAAAACGATGAATCATTGAGAAAGCCCAGGCGAAGGATGATGTTAATTTTCATAAAAAATGAGGGATAAAAAGATTTGTGAGTGTCCGCTTAAGCATGCTAAAAACATTTGTTCATTTTTTTATGAAGCACACAGGTTAACACTCAAGATGTAATGGCTTTAAACTTCTAATAGCCAAACTTTGATTAATTCAAAGTGCCTTAGGCCCGACTAGAATGACAGCTGACAGATTTTAGATAAAAAATTTGCTTGGAATGTGATAAAGAGGTCAGGAAAAACTTGCATTCAACATCTTTTTAGAAGACTTTGCCTTTATTGTGACATGAACAAAAGCATGACCAGTGTCAGGTAGGGTTCCCCTGGGATAATGTAGTGTTACATAATGGCCAATAACTTCAGTTGCTTTCTTTGGCAGCAGAGGGTTGTAACATGGCTTGATAATGTCAACTTTCAACAGATGTCTTTACCTTAGGTAGATGTTGAAATATTTCTAAATCAGATTTTGTGCATTTTTAAGCAATTTTAAGTTTTCCATGTTTATGTCTAGAATGCTCTGAGCGTCTCGTTTTTTTCTGCTGTTGCATGTAGAATTAATGAGGCTGCGGATTTCAAAGATTGCCAGATCCAAGTGAACAGTTACCTGATTTCCCTGAAGGTCGAACCCCCTCCTGCACTGTCTGTCAACCTCTCAGGATCCCCCCTCATCAAAATCGTCCTTACACATTTACTGGTAAGACATGATTTACTTTGTGCTACTGTATTGTGACATGCCATCGCTATTTCTTTGTACGAATGCAAGTAAAACAAACAGGAACCTACCAACTAGCTGGTCTGCTCTCACTCCCCTGCTCCTAAGATTGTGGTGTAACTGACATAGTGCAGCACTGAGTGTACTTTCTGTCTCTCTTGGGGAAGATAGGTCATTTATTGGGCAGATGTCAATATTCTGTAAATTGTATTTTATGCTTTCAAGACTGAAGAAAAACCTCAGAACATGAGGAGGTAATTAGGCCAAGGTTATCTCATCTATCTGCTTAAAGGTTTACTTCCAAGTTAACTCATCAAGACAGTGATAGGCATGGAGAGTATGTAAAGTCACCTCTAGCAGAATTTTGAATTTCTTAATCAAATCTTGTCCTAGAATCCATTTGCTTTTTCTCTATAAATATTCCATTTCGTCAGTGTAGTGGTCCTCGTGTTATTCTGCCTCTCAACAGTAAAATCCACTGTCCCTTCTATGATATTCAATTTATATGCTGAGTCTGAAGTACATTCTGTGAGTCTCAAGTACAAACCACTAGGGTTCTCTTAAATAGAAATGTGAGGTGCACAGAGCACTGTGATCTAAATAGAAACAATGTTGTGTTGCCACTGGAGGATGGAATTCTCATTAGTCACATTGGTAAGGTTGCCCATTCTATTTCTTTGGATTATTTCTTGTAATTTAAGTCAAACTAAGTGAGGCATTAAACTGGATACCAGCCTATGATTGCTGTGAAAGTCCCCTTAGTATCTGTAACCAGCCTTTTGGCTTAGGCAAAGACCTCATAGGAGTTACATAGCAAGAATCAAGAGATCTTTAAAATGTAATAAACAACCTGTGGTTGCCCTTTTTTACTTGACTTGTGCTTATGTTGCTAATGGGACAACCACAATGTGTAATGATTTTCCTAAATGTTTTAAGTATAAGTGTACAATTCAAATATTCCATTTATTGCTCCATGTATTGTGACAATGTTCTTGGAACCAGTTGAAAATCCTTCCATTTTTGATCTTCTTGTTTCATTTGTTTGTTGTTTTAATGCATTTAATAAGGCACACCTGTTGTAATTTGGATTCCATGTCTAAATATTTGTTTCATTCACATTCTGTTGCGATCACCTGTTTTGTGTCTGAGGTGTTCAATTCTGTTTTGTGGACAGATGTTTTGTGCATCCCCAGGCTTAAATCAGTATGTCATAACACCATTACTGAAGAAGCCTTCAATAGATCAGAATATCTCTGTAACTATGGACAACATGAAATCTACTTATTGTAGCAAAGGTTTTTAGTCGTGGCCACTAATTTACAGTCTGTGTTACTTTAACATATAAAAATAGCTCAGCAACAGCTTCTGTTGATGTTGTGAACAATCAGTTAAAGACCTTGGGTTCTGGTTCCTTCAGTTATTGCTTAATTTGGATGTTGTGTTTGACACTGTTGATGTGAACATCCTTCTTAAAGGTTTATTGCTAGAATAGGCACACAATTTTGTACCACTTGATTATTGTGTGTCTGCCATAACAGCCTTTTCTATTGGTGTGCCTCAGGGGTCTGTATTAGGCTTCTTCTTGAATAATATTTATATGTTACCTATATGTTGGGTGAGACTGCATGACACTGGATATCATTTGTATCATGAAGATGCTCAATTTTAACTTGGATACTCAAGCAACAGTTTCCTTGCTTATGTCACACTAACAGGATATAAAAACATAGCACACTTTTCTTATGTTTAATACTGATAGAACAAAAATGGTATTAGTTGGTTCTACAAACTGAATTGTTAAATTTTTAAGTTTAAGGCTGTCACTTAATAATTTTGAATTTACTATGCATAGTATTGTCAGAAAGTTTGATTCTACTCTAAGCTTTGTACTACATATTTGAAGCATCCTTTAAAGCATCCTATATTCATTTGCAGAATATTGATCAAATCAGCTCCCGCTTAGCCTTTGTTTTATCTATGGTTGACTATTGTATTGCTCTGTTGGCAGCATCTCAAAAATTTCACTTGAAAGTTTCCAGCTTGTGCAAAACAATCCTGAACTGCTTTTCTCAAAAACATTTATACTGTTTTTTTCTACTTTTTTTCTGCCTTTTCTCATTTTGTTTTTAATGTTTTCTTTTATGTCATTTTGCACAACCCATTTGTTTAATTAATTAAATTTGTTTGATTGGTATTACAATTCCCATCGGGAGGTTAGGGATTGACCGGAATATTTAACTAATTTCAGTTATACATAGCCTTTTCTTTGTTTCTTATGACTTTTGTGACCCTGAATTAAAAAGGAGCTTTCCTTATGGATGAAAGTCCTTCCATGTTTAATAGCACGTTTTTGCAGGGATCTGCCAGAGTTCTTGATGGGAATCTATTTTTAACAATGCCCTCTATCCCAGGCTTTTTTAAAAATGAAACATGTGGTATACAATAAATATAGTTATTGAAATTTGAACTTTGGGTTTTCAATGCTTTGAAAGGAGAAAAATATTTCACTTTATGGAGAGCATAGTTTTGCTTTGATAATCATTACGGCTGGGATTTAGCAAAGGATATATTCACAAGCCAATTTTCCATGGGAAATGCAGTCAAAAACCTAAATGAAAGGGAGTGATTTGAGTGAATTAATAAAATATGTATGGCACTGGTTAACCTTAGATTAGTGTTGAGTTGTACCAATAAGTGTACAGCCTCTAACCTCTAACCTAATGAATTGCTTTTCACTGTTTGTTACTTCCATCTATATTTTTAAAAAGTCAGCAAAGTTAACATTCTTTCTTGACCTTCTATAGTTTTGCCTCTTATTCTACCTGTTGTCTTTAGATATATTACACTATTAAAGCTACTAACAAAATTTTCTAATATTCCGCATCTCCAGTTTAATATTCTCAAATGTAAAGAGTAGGCTTTGTAGAAAGTTATGAAGATGTAGAAACTAGAGTGACTGTGGATTTTTTTATCATTTAAGAAGAAAGTTTTGGGAGAAGTAAAACGCTATATTTCAGTAACTCTTGAATATGAATAGAGAAGGTAATTTTTCAAATTATTTTTATCTTTATATTTTATTCATATTTATTAATGCAGGCATTTCTGAGAGAACAAAAAACTTAGTCAGAAGGGTTGGATAGACTCCTGCTTTGTGAAATGCTTTATGTATAAAAATGTTCTCTTCTTTCGTCTTCCTGCTGTCTTTAAATTTATTAAATGAGTGTTAAGGAAAGGGCACTACTTTATTTAGTGAATTAAGAAAAAAAACAGTAAAATAACTGAAATACAGTTAAGCACAAGAAGCACTCTATGGAGGTATTACATTTCGCTCTTTGAAAGTGCTTTTCCAGCTAGAGCAGGTTCCAGGCAGAAAACGTTCAGTTGCTATTAAAATAAATTGCCATCAAAGTGGTTTTTGTAAAGATATTCAAAATAAATGAGAAACACTCCGCTATGCTTAACTGTCTAGATTTGTTTTGTTATACCTTTCCTCAAAGAGAAATGTTTACTTTGTAATTACCAAGCATTGTCCTTGTCAAATGGTTGCTTAGTTTATTTTACTAGACACCCATCTCCTTTCTTAGATGGAATTCCAGAGAAAATTTCCTTTTTTGGATTGTTACACACAAATACCAGTACACACGCCTGTTGGCAGTCATTTTAATAAGATTGAATTATTGGTCTATGCATTACATTTGCAATGAACAATATTATGATTAAAGCTGCAGCAAAATCTGTAAAAAAGGTACCGGTAATGTTCAGTGATTAAACAGCAACATTGTGAAAAGATGACTACAGAGCCAAAATAATGAAGATGCAATTTTATCATTTTTTTGTCTAGAACTGCACCAGAATAAATAACCTAATATCTGGGAATTTAGGATGCAAATGTGCTTTGTTTCTTGAAAAACACGGAAAAGATCTATAGTCCACTGGTATTTGAGTTTATGGAATAGGATGGGAATGTAGTGAATTATATTTGCGTGGTGAGTAACTTAAAAAGAAGAGCAATTATTTGAGGACAAAGCTTACATAATCATGAAGAAAATCAAAGGAGCTAAGGCCACTACTTATTCAAGGAGCTCACAGATTCTGTGAAATTGGGACATTTGCTATGTTCCAGTTACACTGAGCAGAAAGCAAGTTGCTATATCCCAAGACTAGCACTCTTTTCAGGAACTGTGAGGTTTCCCAGAAGTACTTTAAAAATTTATAGCCACGGCTGCAATTCTGGTATGATATACGTGATGTGCTGACCTCTTTGGTGTTAACTACCTCTGTTTAAGAGACTGTAACCTCAGATGAACAAAGAAGCTGTTGAGTGACTACATTCAGTTAATTAAAGCTGAAGCATTGCATTGAAAAGGGGTACCGTATTAGGAGTGCTTTGCTGTCAGCCTGGGCCATATTTTTCAAACTTTTTCCCCTGCTCCTTGGTTACCTCATTTTGGCCTCTCCCTGTTAATTACAGCGAAAACGAAATTCTGTGATTAATCTGAAAGTTTTTCTTTTGATGTCTCAATGCAAGGCAAAGGTATTTGTAATTAGGAATGACCTTTATTGTGCAGGAAGTCTGCACTCTGCTTCATGCTGGTATGACTATAGCTCTGTTATCATAACCATGGTATTATACAATATTAATGTTCTATTTATTAATACATGAAGTATTGTTTTCCTATATCAGGAGCAGAATAACTGAGTAATTTATTCAATGTAATTCCTGTTCTAAGTTTATTGAATAGTCATTCATCCTAGGGATTAAGTGCTAACATGGTCTATTAAATTAACTAATCCATAGTACAGGGTGTCAATGTTTGTTGTTGCATGTGCAAGTTGTTGACATTTAAAGGTGTCATTTTAGGACTTGCAAATTAAATTCTGGGTGCCGGATAGCACAGGCAAGTTATTCAGAATGTGACCTCTGATATTTAGCATTTCTATTTGATTTAGGATAGAAAATCTAGTGGAAATTAGGTCACAGC